ATGCAGCAAATTCACCTATTCCCTTGAGACCAGTCAAATTTTAAATTTTCTACGTGGATTCAAATGCAACAGCAGGTTAATCCTCTATTTATCTGTTTGTGGTTCCCACATTTACCAATGGACATAAATCCTTTTCAGATCCCTTTCACCAACTTTATTAAATTTACCAATTTAAATCTTTGAAATTTGATCAAAGAACTAAAGTTATTATAATTTTTAAAAATACTTCTGTTTTTATCATTAAATCAAATTTTAAAAATCTGAATTGATAAATTTAATGAAAAAGATCAGGAGAGAATCCCTGTCGTTTACCAACCAGGTATTTGACTGACGGTAAAATTACCTGAATTTAAACAGCAGTGTAATCATCTAACCATCTGGTTCTTGTTCGCACACTTTCCAACCACGTTTGTGGCGGTAAAATAAAACAGGAAAATAATAGACTTGGAGGAATTATAAAGTAGTACAGTACTACATCATCATACGTGGTAGTCCCATCTAAATTTTGACGTATGTATTATTTTATCACAGCTGGATTTATAATTTATTTAAAATAAATTAAATACTTAGGAAAAAAAAAACCAGCGATCCCACCCTCCATCCCTAACAAGTAGGGGTGGGTGCGGTGTGGTTTCGAGTGAAACCACAACTGCAATTGAAACTTTTTACGGTACAGTGCGATGCGGTTTTGAAGTCAAAATCAAAATGAAACCAACATGTTTGGTTCGGTTCGGTGCGGTTTCAAACGGTTTCGGTTTGGTTTTTGAGAAAAAAATGTACAATTTAAAATATACAACTATTTATGTATAAGACGATTTTATTTTCCTCATATATTAATTAATGAATATGCAGTAAAATTGCAACAAAAACAGCAACAACAATGCAGCAAAAAAAAAGTGGCAAAACTGCAAAAAAAATGCAGCAAAAAACAGCATCAAAACTGCACCAAAAAACTTAGCAAAACTGCACCAAAAAACTTAGCAAAACTGCACCAGGTAGCACTGTCGCAGACTCGCAAAGATGCAAGCAGAAGCAACCAGGTCGCATAATTGAAGATGAGTTTCAAGAAGATGAGTTTTAAGAAGATGAGTTAAGGAGATGAAGATGTGTTTCAGCCTTCAGGAGTCAAAGTGCAAAATTAGATGATAATGATAGTCTAGTAACCTAGTTGAACTAATTAAAAGTTTAAAATATAACATTTATTTATTAATTTTATTATATAGTACGGTTTCGTTGCGGTTTTGAAAACCCAAAACCGAAACCAAACTGTTTTCTTTGCCGTAGTTCGGTTTCGAAACTGAACCTGTTTCGAAACTGCAAAATCAAACCGTTCGGTGCGGTTTGATTCAATTCATGTTTCGATTTCGATTTTTGGTTCCAAGTGCCCATCCCTACTGACAAGTCTCCCTCCCAGTCTTCCGCCTCCATGCCGTGGCTGTGGTGTGGATTAATCATATTGAAAACCCACTGAAGAGTTTTGTGGATTAATCCCACTGAAGGGTTTTGTGGATTAATCATATTGGTGTACTAATTTGAAAACCCAATGAATATAACAACGAATTTGAAATCCCAATCCATTAACTATCTTGGTGCTGTCATTTCTGCAATTTCTGAGTACCTTTGGTGGCAGCGATGTTAGTAAAACGACGTCTCTTACAGATTTGTGAGTACCTTTAAGTGGATTTTGATTAGGAAAACACTTAATTGGGTGAATTTACTGGCGTTATGTAGTTTATAAAGAATTGATGAGAGAAGAAGTTCATGTGTTCATGATATTGGATGAACCCTAAACTCTATTAAGAGTTAGTCTTAGATGAAATCTGTATAGGGAAAGAGGGGAAGAGATAAGGATATGGCCACCAGTGGCTTGAAGTCGGGTTGGAGCCGTGGAGGTAGTGGACTGAGATGGGGACTTGTCCGCGACGGAGGGGGATTGGATCCTCCACCTCGGACCGAGGTCAGTGAAGATTGAATTTTTATCTAACGACTATAATTATTATAATTTTTAAAGAGTCTCTGTTTGTAATCGTTGGATAAAAATCTAACGGTCCACTAACACCGGTCACAAGGATCCGAGGGATTGCCTTGGAGAGGATCCAATTCCGACGGAGGGGTAGGGTCGCTGGCGCTGGGTATTTTTTTCAGGTACTTAATTTATTTTTAATTTCTTAAAATAAATTATAAGTTCATCTGTAATAAAATAGTACACATGTTAAATTTTAAATGGAAGTATCACATATGACGTGGTAGTATAGTACTATTAATAATTTCTCATAGATTTGGCATTCATATATCTGTGTTTTCGTAGTTTTTATAACTTACTCGATATTTTAACGAATCGTATCATGTAACACCTGTTAACATAAACAAATAATATGTCATGACTCGAAATCGACTTGTTAATATTAACAGATAATATGATCCGTTACTCTTTATCCAACCCGTTAAGAAGTAGACCATTTCCAATTTTCCACATACGCCATTAGCAAATTAATTATCTTCCTCGATATAATAATCAAGATTTGGCTATTATCTGCTAATCATGGATTATAAAATTTGATAATTCTGAGTGAACCAAGAGGGAAGAAAACCATGCATTCTTACTTCGGTGTGCGCATAACAATAATGAATAGAAAAAAAATAAAATGACATATAGAGTATTTTAATTGTAAATACAAGTGATATTTGGTATATATACAAATGCTTGTAATGACAAAGTCTACAATTTTTGTGAAGGGGTTAACTCTAAATTTCGTCACTATAATCTCATAAACCATAAATTTAAATTTAACCGTTGATTGTCGTTTATGTTTACGCTCCATTCTTCTCATTGAATTTCATTTTTTCAAATTTTCTTTTTTAAAAACATGATCTTTTAGCAGATGAAGAGTTCAAATCGTCGATATCACACTCAGAGTTTTATGGTTAGTGGAATTATTGCTTGGAGTTTATAAAGTCTATACAAATTATATAATATCAACTCATATTTCAGTTAATCGTAAACATTGGAACATGATATTCCTTCATTTTTCTGCATTTGTTAAAAGATCATGTTTTAAAAAGAGAATTTGAAAAACAAAATCCAGTGAGAAGAATAGAGTGTAAACGACAATCAACGGTTAAATATAAATATAGAGTTTGTTGATTATGGTGTCGGATTTTGGAGTTGAGTCATTCACAAAAGTTGTAAAGCTTGTTATCATGAGCGATTGTGCTTTTTATTTTTATACATTTTCACACTTCTACATTAATTATTATGAATTTTGCACTAAAAAAAAAAAAAAAACTATTCATGAGGGTTTGATGGATTTTAAAATCTAAACAACGATGTAACTATTGTATAAGCGTAGAAGATGTAAATATGAGCGTTTATATATTCTTTCACATTTTCAACTTGTACATTAATTATTATGAATTATTATTTATTTTAACGTCCTCCTAAAAACACTACTCATGAGGGTTTGTAAGGTAAAATTTAAATGACAATGTACTCATCGTTAAAACGTAGAGGCTATGATCACAAACATTTACTTATTTTTTCACATTTTTCACACTTGTAAATGAATATGAATTTTTGAATGTATTTTAGTATTTTTAAATTGCTTTATAATTTTTAATGTGCTTTGGAAATTTTTAAAATCTCAATTATGTGAGATTAAGTATTATTGCTACTGTAGTAACTTGTAAGGTTTTTTTTAGGGACTTGGATTGTCTGCCCTCTCATTTCGGTGCCCTCCTAGTGCTCTCATGTTTTGTGTGGTCACGGTTAAACCACGTCAACCTTTTATATTATTTTTTTATAAAAATAATAAAACAAAAAGAAATAGTAATATAAAATGTTGACGTGGCTTAACCGTGACCACACAAACATGAGGGCACAAGGAGGGCACCGAAATGGGAGGGCACCGAAATGGGAGGGCATACAATCCAAGTCCTTTTTTTAGTAGTAGGTTAATACGGGCTACTCGTGTGTAAGTCCGATAAGAACCCGTTATTAGTAGGTTCATATTGAGTGACAACGATCCGATTAGTTATCGTGTTAATTCGAAATCCATTATCTTTGTATCATTTTCGTACTATATTAACATATGGTGTAAGAAATTGTCAGATTTAGAAAATAAGTTAAGAAAATATAAGACGAGCCCAACAACTCTATTTTTAATCCTACAGTTGGTTTCTTTGGACCGTTGGTTGATCTAACGGTTCAAATTCAAATTTTTTTTTTATAAAAAAAATCTAAATTTAAAATACATTGAATCCAACAGTTGAGATCGAATATAATCAAATCTAACGGAAAAAAAAGAAGATATAACGTCCAAATTTAAATCTAACAACTAAAATAATTAAAAAAAATTAACTCAAAATTCACCAAAAATTTGTGACTATTCTATATTTATAGGTTAAAATGTTCATAAAATTAAACTATGATAGTGTACATAATTTAAAAAAAAAATTTACTTAAAAGAAAAAATTAGCCTACATTTATTCTTTAATAATTTCAGGCAAAAAATTTATGCCAGAATGGTTGGAGCAAAAAAGTTATTTATGAGTTAAAACCTAAATTTTTTAGATTAAAAATTTTAGATTTTAGGCAAAATGTTGTCTAAGGAGAGTAAAGTCTTTGATGAAGAGTTAAATTTGAAGAAATTTTTAGTTGTGATAGAAATATGGATGGTACAACACGTGTTTCACGTGTTTTTATACAAGTGATGAAAAATTTTAATTTTTAAATTATTAATCTTTTAATACATATAACCCATCATTGATATAGAGACATGTGATGTAACATTTGTGTTGTATGAGGATCACATTGAAAACTCTGACCAATCAACCATTGCAGGGTTAGTTTCTAAACCAATAGGGTTTCGCAACGTAGCAAGAATGTCATGTCACGGTTAAAGGCAATTCCAAAGTTCCAATGCACTGAGGAAAAGTGACTGGTGGATCTCCATAAATATGGGGCTCCAAAACCCTACACCGTTTCATCCTACCATCCGCTGTGTAATAGAAGTCTCTCTTATCCTCTCTCCCACGCACAAACAACAGTTCCTTGATGTTCCTTCTCCACTTTCTCTCTATGTCTTTCCTTTTTCTCAGGTTTTTTCTTGGAAAAGAAAGTAAAGTCTTGTCAATTTCCATGTGAAAATTCAAAATTCCCACACAAGAAAACAAAAAGAAAAAGAAAAAAAAAACCTTTGGTTCCGAGTACCCATCTCTTTCTCCCTTGTACTTGCACCCTCACTCGCAAATATCACTACATTATTGTTGCTTAATTTTTGGCATTTTTCATTGAGAACGATATACATATGGAGGAATTTTACAGGATGATCGCAGGTGTGACATCTGCATGCTCAGATGATCATGTGAATGTTCATCAGCAAGTTGAAAATATGTCTACTAGTACTAGCAGCGCCAGTTGTGGTGGGTTTCATGGCGGTGGTCATGTGGTGGATGATCATAACATGCTGTTATTTGGGACGGAGGGTTTAGAATCCGATCATATGTCTGATCTGATCAAGTCCCAGATAGCCAGTCACCCTCGTTTCTCTAATTTAGTTGCTGCATACCTAGAATGGCAAAAGGTTAATTAATTAATGCACCAGTGCATGAATATTCTCTTATCTTTACTTAATTTTTGCAGTACAGTAATGATTTCCTGTGTTAAGTACTCACTGTAACCCGAAAATTGAAATATGAAAATGGAAATAGTAGTGGCTAGGCATTCTTTTATAATGTTTTGGTTCCATTTGGACTTTTCGAACTCTAAACCTAACCTACTCTAGACGTAACCTTCTCCTGACTATCAATATACACACACCCTCACCATTGGGCCTTATTCGTTAATTAAGCAAACAGTATGTAGGCAATGGCGGAGCCAGAATTTTAGTTCAGGAGAGGTCTAAAAATCTCATCCTAAAATGCTCTCCTACCATAAGAAAAATAAAGGTCCGTCGTGTCCTAAGCTACGACCACCGTTATTTTGGTTTGGTGTGACGTCTTTCTTGTCATCATTTTCCTCAACTCAACACCCATGCCCAGTATCATAACTTAGATACAATTTAAAGTCCTTGTAAGTGGGGAGCGGAGGAATGAAGGAGGAGGAGAATAAAGCAAATATAAAAGTAAAAACTAGTTATCTCGCCTACTTCTCTCTCTACCTCTTCTGATCACCTAAGTCCCACAAAACTCACAGTGACGTTGGTTAATTGCATGGGAGTCACAACATCAATTTGAACCCCATGAAAGAAAGAAGGAAAATATTCTAGTTGGAGCCCTAATTCTGTGAAAAATCTTTGAAAATCAAAGGAATAACTCTAGTTTTTTGTGTGAAAAAAAAATAAAAATAAATTCAGGATGGGCCAGGACCATTCTGGTATCTTCATAGCTCTGCCCATGTATGCAGGGTTTTAATTATATCTGGTTGTTTTGAGTTTTTCATAAAATATTATACTTTTACAGGTTGGAGCACCAGCAGCGGAGATGAAAAATCTGCTTGAAGAAATTGGAAGGGTAAGCCACCCAATGAGCACCTGCGGTGAGATAGGAGCTGATCCAGAACTTGACGAGTTCATGGTATATTGATTAATTATTCACTTTTATTTATTTCTTTTGTCATATTTTGTACTCTTTAAGTTCTGTTTGATTGCTGAGAAAAGAAAGGAAAATGTACAGAAAACTAGGGTTAAATTTGTGAGATTCTACATGTATTCGTTGTTTTGCAAGGAATCATATATTGGGGTTCTCCATAGATTCAAGGAGGAGCTATCTAAGCCATTCGATGAAGCAACAACATTCTTGGTCAACATTCAAACTCAACTTAGCAACCTCTGTAAAGGGACATTCCCAAATACCTGGGACAATCACTCTGGTAAATAAATCTCTTTAGCTGTAAATACATTTTCCTCTTTCAATCTTAGTTTTTGGAGGGTTTCAAACCTTGAACCTACTTCTAATCATAGCCCTAACCACTCTCACCACTAGGCCACCCTCAGTAGCTTATATAAACATTTTCCCTTAACTTTCATCCAGTCTAGGTTCTTGGTTTCTTTTTTCTTCTTCTAATTGTATGAAGAAGAAGACACGTATGTACATGCATTTACATCTGTTTATTCATCAGTCCAAAGGAGGTTGTATGCGTACGAGATTGTACATGGCTTTCATTTAATTGGTTTCTGTTTTATATATGGACAAATCATGACACGTGGGATGAGCATAACATGATGGTGTTTCTGATGCCCTAGAAAGAGAGAGAGATCTATTTGAAAGTGAAGTGACTTGGTGGTGGAAAGTGAGATGCTTGACCTGAAGACCTCATAACTCCACTGCGATGTCCCTCATCGATGATGAACAATTTTCAACACGTTTCAGCATACGTGGTCGATTTTCAAGTCTACACATGGATAATAATTGGGTGACGTTGAGCGCGTGTGGCCGTTTGACTTCACACGAGGACAACTTGTTTTGATATCACTTGTTCCACTCTCACAGTAAAACTAATTCGCAATATGAGAAGTAGCCCAAGATCACATAAGTATATAGTAAACTTTGTCCCTTACTGATGTGAGACAACTTTCAACACACTGGGAGTCTCGGATATCACTTGTTCCACTCTCACAGTAATACACATTCATAAGTAAGTAGCCTAAGATCACATAAGCATATAGTAAACATTATCCCTTACTGATGTGAGACAACTTTTAACACATTGGGAGTCTCGGATATCACTTGTTCCACTCTCACAGTAATACACATTCATAAGTAATTTCACAAAGCCTTCTATGACCGTCTGTAAGTTATTTTGAGTGGACCAAAATCACTTATGAAGAGAAACATGAGTTTGTGTTTTGCCATAAAATCACTTAAGGCGAATGCCCGGATCATGTAAAGGTCTTGAAGAGAGAATTTCTTCCGTTAATTAGTTTTACATAAAATCCCTAATTTTCTAAACATGAGTAAATCGTCCTAATTAATAGTAGGGTGGTTCTAATAGGACGAGGTTGTGAACGAATCTAAGTTCAAGTTTGCGGGTACTTTATTTAATTTGAGAGATATTTTAATTAATCTAATTAAATTATAAAAAAAGATTCAAACTCGAATTTGGATGGAAAGAAGTATCCTACTCTAGTCAACTTAATTAGCTACATCCAAAGTATGCAAATTTGGTGTACTACTGGGTAGAAGAAAATGGGGGGATAGGGTTAAACGATCCATAAATCTTTGGTCATGGTCGTCTAATAAAGATTAAAAGTAATCTACTTCTTTTTGGCCTTTCACTTAAAAGTAATTATCACTGCAAAATGCACTTATCTCTTTTCATTTTTTTTCATGAGGACTGCAAGACGATTTTTTGGATCGTGAATAACAGCTCCAATCAAGAATTCTTCTCTAAAACACTAAGTTATGATTCCTTTTTTGATACATTAATTTTTTACTGGTCGTGCCAAAATTAAAGAAGGGGTCGGCAGTGAGACTTGCACGTAAATTGTAATATTATATGCTTAACTTAGGACTGCTGACTAATTTTTAGTAATGCAGATGAAGGGGTCGGCGGTTCAGAGGAGGAACTTAGCTGTGGGGAGGTGGAAGCAGCAGAGAGTCAAGAAATCGGTGGTGCTCATTCTAGTGGTGATCGGGAACTGAAAGGTATGCTGCTGAACAAGTACAGTGGCTACCTTAGCAGTTTAAGGAAGGAGTTCTTAAAGAAAAGAAAGAAAGGGAAGCTACCGAAGGATGCCAGGACTACCCTATTGGATTGGTGGACTATTCACTATAGGTGGCCATATCCTACGGTAATTTCATAAGAATGTCATCTCTTTTCTGGTTCAAATTAAAGTTAATGGAAAACAAACTTGTACTATAATGGGTAATTCATCCATAGATCACAGAAATGGGAAGCTCTCTCTATAATATATCCACAAGTGTCTTTCAATTATCATGACATGTCACATGAAAATTATCATTTTTTGTTGGAAAATGAACAAAACATCATATGATAGTATACAGGATAGGCAGAGGTTTATCCAAAACCCAAACATGAAAATTAGGAGCAAAAGCCTAGCCATGGTTAAAATAGAACATAAAGGCTTATTTCAAATGCAAGTTCGCCCCCAAATTTTGTGTGTGTGTGTATATATAATGTGAATTGGAAGTTTAGTTTCATGTATGTGTGTTTAGGACTATTTCAAAATTTGACGATGGTAAACATGTGTATATAGGAAGAGGAGAAATTGCAGCTGTCTGAGATGACTGGATTGGACCAAAGGCAGATCAACAACTGGTTCATAAACCAGAGGAAGAGACATTGGAAACCATCTGAGGACATGAGGTTTGCTCTCATGGAAGGCGTCGGTGGGAGCATTGGAGGACCTGTGATATTTGACACTGGTTTTGGAACTGGAAATGTTCATGATGGTATGTGATATCATTGTATCAGGTGTTTGGTCGATTCTAACATTCGACCTAAGTAGCGTTAGAGCCTTTTGATTATTTCAGTCTAATGTCTTCTTTTTCATATGGTATTTGTGAACCTTGTAATAATGTTAAGACTTGCATGTATGTATATTCTGTATCTATGATCCCTCTCTCTTATGTAAGTAATATTTTCTGTCAATGCGGGCCTGGACCCTCCCCCCTTTTTTTTTAAGAGATAGTCTCCTTTGGGCTGAGTCCATCCTTTTCTTTTGAGCTGAATAAGTGCACTCTCTCTACCAGAAAAAAAATTGTTGTATATCCTTCCCTTGTGAGAGGAAGGCAAATAATTGTTGGACGTGCCAAAAATAGTTGGTCTTGGAACTCTATTGGGTCTAAATCAAGGCATCCACAAAGGGGATATTAGCAACCAATTATTCCAACTCACAACGAGTCGAACTGATACATCAAAATCATCTATACAATAAGTATTCCTCAATCAAGCCATAAAAGAGCTAAATTGCATCTCTAAGACTATAACATAAAACCGGTCTTAGATAAATCAAGCATCAATATCGTAAAGCTAAAACCTAAAATTGAAAATTGAAATTGTTATCAAATTGGTCTTGTTAGTTGGGGATGGTCTTTGATTTGTAAATTTGATGCGATATATTTTTTTTCCTTTAATCATGTTGAAATTCTCGACAATTTTATTGAGACTTATTCATTTTCCTCTTGTACTTGTTCATTTTCCTCATCAATTAACCCTCAACCTAATCAAACTAGGTTGCACCGTTCCCACACTATTTAAAAATTAAAGATACGGAACCCGAAAAAAAAAAACATTGAAAATATTTTAGGCCTATACGAATGATGCAGTTTTCCCACATTTTTATGACTTTGGAGGCTGCTAGCTGTCTGGTCTTGAAAAAGTGACTTTGCTTCAATCCAAACCGTTAACAACTTGCATTTGGAAAAAATCGTGAAGAGAGTGGTTATACTTATTCATGACAGTTAAGCAACTATTGCAGAACCAAACATATGAACAGTTATTCATGCCCATGGCCATGGGTCAGCATAGAATACACAAACTGAATAGTACTGGTTCGATGCTTCTATCATTTTAACTGTTAGGTCTTTATTTAAAAACAAAAATTGAAATCTAAATGGTTAAAACACTCAAATTTCCAGATACATTCTTTAGTTGCTAGGTACTTGAGATATATAATTCAAGTCAGAACATGAATCGTGCAAGGCAGGACTTCCGTGCACATGAATGTCGACCGACAAAGCTAAGTGGCAATTAAGTGCATGTCTTCCGACCAAGCAATTTTGATTTGCCTAGTGTGGATTGGACGTCTTATGACCTTTGTCTCAAATTTAATCTTAAGATTGAAATCTTTGCAACTGTTTTGGAGCGAATCAAGCCTAATAACTTTATTCATGATTTTACATGTCGAGTTGTGGTGAAGTACATATACCCGTTGGACACTAATATGGCGGGTTGGACTAATAGCTCAATGTACTTGATAGGTTAAGAAAATTGTCACTTTTATGTTTGTTTTATGCATTTTTTATTTGTTGGGTAAAAAAGCTCGTATTTTATTTGATAAGTAAGAAACATGCAACAAAGTGAACGAGTCTGAATTTGAAGAGATTCTTTCATACAAACAGTACCATCAACTAAATATTTTCTACTAAAAAACGTATTATTCATGAATAAACGATTGTCACGTAATAAACTAGTGACATACAAAAAATTTCTCCTAAATCTTCTATAATTGGGGAAACTCTTGTGCAGCCGATACAACATATAGTTGGTCAGTTGATGCAAGAGGAAGAGCAATTTTTGTTGGTGATAAGAATTGTCAACTCACTCGTGTCCATGATTAGATTTTGTTATCTATTAGGTGATGTTATATATGCATGTACCCAAAAAGACCAACACGCACAATTCAAACTCCATTTGTAATAAAATGTTGGTGCTTTAAGTATTCATCAATCAAAATGATTTAGGCTATACTTCGAAAAAATACAAATAAATAAAAAATAATGTGACTTATTATGATGTAAGTCGTGATGGAATCATGTACACTTGTTTAAAATTGAACGTGAACACATATAAAATCTCAATATTGTTTTGTAAAGATTTGAAATAATGTCTTATATATTAATCGTACTTCACTATTGATTAACTATTCCAAAAATTCAATGAGTTAATAATTGTTTTTCTTTGGACACTTCAATAACATGAACAAGGCTTGGTGGCATATGTTCACAACCGGACTCAAGAGAATGTTGACATCTTTGGAGGGTTTGAGACTCTCGATGCCCTGAGATTTTCTCATACAATTAACTTATAAACTTATTTGTGCTTTTCTCCCATAGTCCCATGAACCCCATGTCGACACTATGAGAAAAAGATTGATATTGCAGATCTGCATATGACAACACTCACCACTCCAAAAGGGCCCTTATTTTAAGTGCACTTATGCAGGATAACATTCCCTTTATGTCGACACTCGACATTACACACACACACACTCGACATGCATATACATAAGCTTACAATTTACAAACCCTAGCCCCTGCCGAAAATTTTCTCTTTAATTTTCTAACCTAATTAACAAGGTTGTCCAACACCAACATCTGTATATATTGTGTACACTTAACTGAAATCTTGTTAGTTAATGTAATATTTGTGTACACTTAACTGAAATCTTGTTGGTTAATGTAATATTTTTGATAGGGTAAGTTAGATCGATGTATCCAAAATAGTGAACAATATATTGTTTTAAGATTTTTTTTCTTCATATAAGTGACATTTTATGTGCACTAATTCTTTTAAATTAAGGAGTGAGAGATTCGAACTTGATTGCATAAGAAAGAGTACACTGCTATGGGCTATAAGATCAAATCCGAACAATGAATATAGTTTTAAGAAAAATTCCGAATTCTCCATGCCGTATTTCCCCAAGTATACTTTGCTAGCTATTAGCAAATTAAATATAATAGGAAAATGAATGTGGTAAAAATTTATGTACGAGAACTCGTAGCCTCAAAGTCTATACTCTGTACCTTTCCCTAATATTTCTGTAATATAAGGTTCTGCAGCTCTCTCTTCTGACATTGACAATATTTCGTCTTCTGCTAATTTGATAATTAATTAATATTTAGAATTGAAGGAAATTCATGCATCTCTACTTAGTGGATCTTGTAATTTATTGCAGATGGAAGTTTATAGAAATCTCTAGTCACTAGATTTTATATAACCTTAGTCAAAGCACAGTGAAAGATATCCAATGAGGGCTGATATCCAATGGGGCTCATACATTATAGAAAATTTTAATGAAAAAACTTCTGATACTGTTCATTTTAACGAAAAATCATATTTTTATATTAAAAAATTAATTATAATACTATTCATTTTACTCTTTATTTTATCATTATCGTTAAAACTCAAAATTTTCTAATCCTTTTAATTAATTTTCTTTAAATTTATAGGCATTAACTAGGGTAAATGTTTTTTTGTTTAATTTAGTGGAGCTTCAAAAACCAGACATCTTTGCCTTTTCAGATTGGATGTGATGGGAAAGCAAGAAAGATCGGGAGAGGAGACCAACCACGAATGGTGAAACTTTTTGAACAAATCACAGTTAGACAGACCCACGCAAATCAATTGTCGTTTTCCTAAACGACTTGCTATCAGATAACCTACAATGACAGCCTTTTGTGGTCCAAAAAAGCAGAAAAACACATTAAATATTTCACCTGAGGATCACTCAATATTGCAGATTTCATAATAATGAAATGACTGCAGAACGCAACAAAATTCTGGTCTCTCTCAATCTTTTCGTCTTTGAGGTATCGCCTCCACTCAAACTGTGAAGAAAACCCTACATGCTTATCCATACTTTACATAAGAGACAATTTTATTAAGTTAATGAATTAGCCTAGTGATGAGGATGAGTAGGCTAGGTCGAGGGTTCAAAACGCTCTAATGCAAACTTTTATTTGAAATAAGTACAAGCTGTGACCTCTTCTTCTTAACCTAAACCCAACTGGTTGGGGTACAGAAGTCAGAGTAAATATTAATGGGCATGCTAGTGCACAATCATATATCAATGGTTGGAAAACTTTGGAATAATATGAGATACATCCTTCTCAGCCTTAATTTTGGAATATTGCTAATTCATCTTGTAACTGACTGCATTATCCCTAATTGTTCATTAAAAAAATGGAATTTTTATTACTACTCCAAAATTCTCATTCTGCACTCCAAACTTTCTATATTTAGAAATAGAAATACATTTGTGAGGGGTGCAAAATTAGATTTTTGAAGCAGTTTCACCCAAAAAAAAAAAAAAAAAACCTTAACTGAATTCTACATTCTTTTTCTCCCCACACACAACTTTGTTTATTTCTAACAATTTGAGCGAAGAAAGGAATGGAGAAACTAGGGTGTGCTAAAATTATGCTAAAATCATTCCTCCTCTAGTTCCACTATTAACAATTTGAATTGGGATTTTCTCATTTTCGTAAGTGCAAGAAGAAACAACAAACAATATGTATCCAAAATAAGGATCCAATTTCCATGTGATTTTATTATAATTTTGGATTCCATAACACATATTGGATATGTCACGATAATAAGTAGCTATATAAACACAGGTCAGATACACGCGCATTGAACACATATCAGTTAAACCAAATAAATGGATTTTATTTCCCTGCAAGCAACATAGATGAAGGCATATAAAGAAAAATCATCACAGGATCGATGTTTTATTAAAGCTGCTCCTCGAAGGCCAACTCCTCAATCATGTTTCCAAGTTTATGGAAAGGATTGAAGGCTTCAATCTCACAACACTTGCTGGGAAGTCTAATGGCACCAGCATTATTAATCTCCTGAGAATCAATTGATGATGAGTGCTGAACAGGCAATGCGTATTTACGCGCGATGACAATCGAATTAATGACTTCATCGGTGGGATGAAACACAGAGAGAACCTCAAACCCTCTAAGATCATCACAAGGATCAATCACCGGATAAAGAAAAGCTCTCGCGCCGTGTGCACTCCTTAGCATCAAAGTTGCTCCTGGAGCCATGTATTTCGCCAAGTGATCGATAATTTTCAGCTTCTCCATCTTGTCCATGCCAACAAGAGCAGCCAAAAACACAACTTCATAGTCTTTCAAAGCAGTTGTGACATCCATTATATCTGTGGTGTGGAAGACCATCCTTTTTGATAGGTCAGGATCGGATGACACTAAGCGAAGAGCCATTGAGTTGGCCAATGTGTCGATGTCATAGTTGTCAAAAGAGGTTTTGGTGAGGTGATTGGAGGCCAAGACAATTGAAGTAAGGGGAAGAGGGCCAGAACCCACAAAGGCAATTTTGCTAGGCACACGGGTGAAGTGTTGGCTAAGGATGTTGAACTCAAGTTTGCTAAGCTTGAGGTAATTGGAATAGTAAGGGAAAATGTCGAGATGGTCGAGAGGGTGCTCAAATGAGCCTAGGATTGTTGAGAAGTGATTCTCCAAAAGTCCTTCTGCTTCTCCACAAAGCCTTATAAGATTTGACCTTATTTCTTGCACCCCTCGGCATAACTTGGAAACATCGATTGGACTTGGTGGTATGCATGTCAGGACGAGTTGGGTGAAGAGCATGTTGACATCTTGGGAGGGTTTGAGGCTCTCTAGGCTTGAGATTTTCTCATACAATTCACACACTCTTTGTACCAAAGCATCTCCCTGGCAACACATGTCCACACTTGAGGATATGGTGATCAAAGACTCTTGGGAAATAGTAAGATTGAAAATTCAAACCCTCTTGAAAAAAAATCTCACAGCTTAATATTGGTGAAATCCTCCACAGAGTCGTTATTTATGGGCACTTGTGGGGTCCATGGCACCTCTATTGCCGCCTCAAAATTTTCTATGGTGTAACAATTAATATTCATAACATATATTGATATATACAGACAATATTTTATTTTTCAAGAATTTGCTCATATATATTATTTTCCTCGTGGAGTCACATATATACAGTACATAGTCTTGTACAGGAAGAAAATGTAACATTCATATTCTATTTACAGCATAAAATTAACCTAAAAAAAGGAAAAATGATAACAATAATTATTATTTTTATTCATAAGGGGTGGGATATGTGCATCCAAATACAAATTTATTTTGTGCGCGTGTTCTACTATTTTTTGCAGTAATTTTGTGTGTACAGTCGGTTTATAAAAACTCTTTGGAACCCAAAAAAGCTTGCCTATGAGGAGTTTAGGGTACTTAAACACATAACAATTAAACGAACTCTATATCTCTCACATTACGTCTCAATAGGAATTATAGAATTACATGAGTGAGGGTTTACATGAATTCAATATGTTCCATGGAAGTCTTTCTTAACTCGAGTCTTGGCTTTTCTTAGGATTCAGGACAAGGCCATTATCCCCATGTGGAGGCATACAGAATACAGATAGGTTTCAGAGTAACAACACTCGATTGACCGTTAAACTAAAGCAGCAAGTAGCATGCCTATCCCTACCAATGGTTCTGTTACTTCAGCAGGAAAAGTAGTTATATGTGATGTGGTAATGGGAGAAAATGATGCCATATCTTTCTTTCTTACATTGAATGCACAAAATGGGATCTAAATTAAAAAGTAGGGGTATTTTGATATGGGTTAAAGTAACTAAAAATTGAATCTATTTCAAAAGTCAAAAGTCATTAAAAATTGGACCTATTTCAAAAGTAGACCTATAAAATTGGACCTATTTTAAATTTTCCCAATTAAAAAATAAATTTAGAGTGGAGAAATGAGTCCCCAAAACCTTTTTTATGGTAGACACTCATGGATCAAAAGCTAGTGACAACTGACAAGATCATCCATTTAACAATAATACTTGTACTTACCGTTGTGGATTGTAAATGGAGGACTTGTAGGCGTATTAGCTCTTCGGAGTAGAATGATGAACCTGAAACATCCACCTTCACCAATGATAAAAAGTCATACACACTATATATGATAGTTAATCGTATGTCTTTTTTTTTTTAGCAAACGATATTATTTACACCTAAACCCTAATTAGATGTTCCATGTTACATGATTAATAGCATATAAGAAATAGTTTCTCAAATATTCAGATGTCATAAAAAAAATATAATTTTGATATTCAGATGCGTTCAACATATATTATACATACCAGAAAATTAAATATATATATATATTATAATTAGATGTTCCATGTTACATGATTTTGATATTCAGACGCGTTCAACATATATTATACATATCATGTAGGAATTTTTATTTTTGTAATTTTTTTTTACAAGAAACGATAACGATTTTCCATTAATAACGATAGCAATAACAAATACAAGGATTGCCACATGGATACAATCTCCCGTGACCAAATATTTGATCTAGAGGTATTTCACACAAACAAGTAATGATGATAGTCCCCTAATTGGTTACCACAAGTGCACACACTAGCATAAACACCCCGTACAAATCTACCACAAAGATGGCAGAAACAATAGACTTATCCCCGGAACTTTATGTCTTCAATGTTGTCATACACACTAAGTTCTTAGACGTTGTCAAAGTGCCTCGTAGCTTCCACTATGCTTCTTCTAGGTTTTTTTTTTCTTGCTGAAAATTATGTTGGCTTTACAGGAACTGGATGGCCAACATAGTTTCAATCAGTAAAAGGAGAAAATTTTCAATGTGTCGGGAACATGATTTGGTATATATACCAAGTGTCATGATATTATTGGTAGAATTATTTTTTTTCAAATTTTCAACTAATTATATTATTACACTTGGTGTACCTGATCATGTTCCCACAATGAAAATTCTCTGCGGTAGAAGTTCCTTTGCTATTTCGAATTCAACTTCCCACGATATTGTTATAATTATTTATACCTTTTTTCCAGCTTTATTTTCTCTATCAATGGTTTCGATACATTACAATCATTCCTTTAGGTAGTGCAAGCTTTCAAACAAGATGCTTTATGCTTTGGAAAATTCTCTTTGTTTGACCTCATTTTTTAATAGAAATTTTACGGCTTAAATTTTCATGTATTTCATATTTTGAATATATACACATAATACAATCATTGTTCTCTACGAAAACAATAAAGGACATAATATCATTCCTAAAACATGACTCTAATAATTACAAAATATTTACATTCATTTTCTCCTAAATATTGACTTATTCCAACACCCCCCTCAAGTTGGAGCATAGATATAACTCATGCCCAACTTGACAAGCGAATCACCGAATCTTCTACTACACACAGCATGGGTAAGGATATTTGCAAGTTGTTCTTTTGAGTTCACAAACGGTATTGACACAATCTTCTTCTCCAGCTTTTCTTTGATAAAATGTATTTCAACCTCAACATGCTTAGTCCTATCATGCTGTACTGGATTCGCAGCTATTTCTCTAGCGGACTTATTATCACAATACAACTTCATTGCCTCATTCTGTTTGAAAACAAGACTCCAAAGTAACTTTCATAGCCAAAGAATCTCACACACAATGTGCCATACCCCTACACTCGGGCTCGGCAGAAGACCACGATACCACATTTTGCTTCTTACTTCGCCACGTAACCAAATTACCTCCAACGAATGTGAAATACCCAAATGTAGACCTCCTATTAGTCACATCACCAGTCCAATCAACATTAGTAAATCCCTCAATCTTCATCATAACTTGAGAGTAAATCTACCAAACAATATTTGGTCACTTTACAGACTTAAGCAATCACCTCGTGGCCAATTCAAATTTGCAGTTAAAGAAATCATAACTCGCACCGTATTCATCTTCACTACTGGAGAAAAAGTCTCCTGATAATCAACACCATAGGTTTGAGTATAACCCTTTGCTACTAACCTCGCTTTATACATGTCTATCGATCTGTCTACCTTGTATTTGATCGTAAAAACCTATCTATACCCAACCGGTTTCTTTCCTTCAAGTAGCTTTGTTACCTTCTATGTATCATTCTTATGTAGTGCCATCATTTCCTCATCCATTGCAGCAGCCCATTTAGGATCCTTCAAGGCCTCTTCCACTCGGGTTGGTGCTTGGATTGCTTCCACATTATTTACCCAGGCTTGACGTTCTTGTGCAAGGTTTGAGCATGACACATAATTAGGTATTAGATACTTCACTTTTCCTTCAGGAGAAAATATGTCAGGAGGAACATCACGATTTTGCCTTGGCGGCAACTTATATGTACTCATAATATTATCTGGATTAGTTACATGAGCATCAGTAGTATTTACCTCAGGGATATTCAGAGAAGACAAATTAGGTGGCACTATCGAGCTCGAGAGAGAGAGGTGTAGGTTCGGTAACTAATGGTTGCTAGAGCGGCGTAACTGGTTTGGCAGCTTTCTGCTAACACTTTGCATCGCACTCGGTAGCCTGTTGCCGAGAAGACCCAGTGGGTTTGGTGCTCGGCGGCTACATAATAATCCAATTCTCAGCAGTGTCTTGCCGAGAGCCATTGTCTCCATTCTCAGCAGTGCCTTGCCAAAAGCTTTCATAGCTTTTTTGCTGAGAGCATTCACAACTTTCTTTTTCAACAAATGCTCCCCTTGAGTTACATATTTCCAACCAGCCAAGATCACCACTAGTATTCTCCCTCTGGTGATTGGAAGGTGATGGAATTAAAGCATAAAAAAACTCAGATTCAGAAAAACTAATATCCATGGTCACATACATATGATGAGTTTCAGGGTGGTAACACTTATACCCTTTATGTTGAGTAGCAATTCCAAGAAAAACACACCAATGAGCACATGGATCTAACTTACTACGATGAATCTTGTGAATATAAACATAGGCCACACACCCAAATACACGAGGAGTAAGAGTATTGGTTGATACTACGGGAACAAATTCTGTCAACACTTAGAGAGGTGTATAAAAGTCCACAACCTGGGATGGCATACGGTTAATCACATACACGGCATAGGTGACAGCTTTAGGCCATTACCATTTAAGTACGGACGCACCAATAAGCAAGGCACGGGCAGTTTCCAGAATATGACGGTTATTTCTCTCAGCAATCCTATTTTGTTGTGGGGTATGAGGACAAGTAGTTTCATGTAGAATTCCTTGATCCCGAAGTAAGCCAGACAACTCGGGACCAATATACTCACCTTTATTATCTGAGCGGAGAACCTTAATAACAGAGGAATATTGTGTTGCAACCATTTGAGAGAATGACCGAAACATCATACTAACATCACTTTTATTCTTCATCACATAAATCCAAGTCATACGAGTGCAATCATCAACAAAGGTAACAAACCATTTAATTCCAGACAAAGTACTAATGGGAGAGGGACCCCAAACATCAGAGCACACAAGATCAAAAGGAAATAATATTTTATTCATACTAGGAGGAAACGAAGCACTATGACTCATCGTGAGAATACACACTTCACAATGTAAGTTTGATTCTTTTAGTTCATGAAATAAACTAGGCAACATATGCCTTAAATAACCAAACGAATCATGTCCTAACCGACGATGCAATAACCAAACTTCTTGCAAATTACTGGTACAGGATGCTCGAACTACATTAGCTCTACCAGGAACGACGTCATCCACATAATATAACCCTTCTCTCTTAGTACCACACCCAAATATCTCATTGGCTTGAATATCCTGAAGCAAACAAAACATCGGATACATAAGTACAACACAATCTAATTGCTCAATAACTTAAGGAATAGATAACAAATTATGAGACAACGAGGGAACAAACAGGTAGTGATGAAGGGGAAGGGTCGGCGTGAGGTTCACAGTGCGGGCCCCTAAAACCGG